AGCAAGTGGATCGGGCTGCCAAGATTGAAGTGGCTCAGGTGGATCTGGACTGGCATCATAAGGGTGAATTATTCTTAGCTCAATGGGCCCATGACTCCTCAGGCCATCAAGGGAGAGACGCTACATATAGATTGGCTCGGGACCGAGGGGTGGATTTGACCATGGACACTATTGCACAGGTCATCCATGAATGTGAGACATGCGCTGCAATCAAGCAAGCAAAGCGATTAAAGCCCCTTTGGTATGGAGGACGATGGCTGAAATACAAATATGGGGAGGCCTGGCAGATTGATTATATTACACTTCCACAGACCCGTCAAGGCAAGCGCTATGTGCTCACAATGGTGGAAGCAACCACTGGATGGCTGGAAACATGCCCTGTGCCCCACGCCACCGCCCAGAACACCATCCTGGGCCTTGAAAAGCAAGTTCTGTGGCGACATGGCACCCCAGAGAGAATTGAGTCGGACAACGGGACTCATTTCCGAAACAGTCTCATTGACACCTGGGCCAAAGAGCATGGTATTGAGTGGGTTTACCACATTCCCTATCGTGCACCAGCCTCTGGGAAGATAGAACGGACAATGGACTGTTAAAAACTGCACTGAGAGCAATGGGTGGTGGGACTTTAAAAAATTAGGATACACATTTAGCAAAGGCTACCTGGCTAGTTAACACCAGGGGATCTAGCAACCGAGCTGGCCCTGCCCAGTCTAAACCCCCACGTACCGTGGAGGGAGACAGAGTCCCCATAGTGCACATGGAGAATATGTTAGGGAAGACAGTCTGGGTCAGCCTTGCCTCAGGCAAAGGCAAACCTGTCCGTGGGACTGCCTTTGCTCAAGGACCCGGATGCACTTGGTGGGTGATGCGGAAGGATAGGGAAGTGCAGTGTGTACCAACTCACGAGTTTTGCCTTTTTATTTTGATTTTCCCCTCCCGGCCACGTGGCCATGGGGGCTCTTCTGCACGAGCAGCTGCACATGGTCCTTTGTTGCCGTCTGAGGCCAAACCACGACAGAGCCCTAAAGTCTTCCTAAGGATTCCAATACCAAGCACTCCATGGAAATCACTCCATGAGAAATCTGGAGCTTCGAGAGTATCACCACCACATAGAACAACTCACAGCACAACTGCAAAAGTAATATTCAGGACATTCCAACTACAATTTTGTTGGCAGTAAAAAAATTAGAATTCTAATTCAATTACCTAAGTTTTTGTTATAAGAATTGATTCAAACACACAGCTGCATAAAGGCTAGTCACCCTTTCACACTGGCAAGAGGGAGGAATGGCCATTTAGCTCAATTCTTCCTTTTGGTCCTTGTACAATACTTCAAAACACACTTCTATCCCTGAAAGCCCATTTCCTTCTTTATTGTAATGCAATTAAATGGTATTCAGGCTAAGATCACAAATCAAAATTCCAGGATCACTTCACGAAGTCAAGCCTTTCTATCCCCTCTACCAGTACCACAACACATACCTACACAAAACTCAATTCCAAACTTTAATCACAATTTTTGCAAATAAACTGCAATGGGTGCCTGAACGTTTCCATCATTAATAAAAAATAATCATTCATCTCAAACACTCAACTTCAAAATATCTTTTAGGAGATGGTCTCCTAGATTTGAGTTTATTTTGGAAGGAGTTACTCTAGGGAAAAATAAACCCATTATTTGCAAACAATTATTCTATAATCATTTTATAACTCATTCACTAGTATTTTAAAGACAGAAAATTTAAAAAATAAATTCTAAAAGCTTCCAGAATTGTGTTTATTTAGATTGTATTAAAAAACTTTTGTCCTAAGCTTTTTAGAGTTAAAAAGATGACAAGTTGTATATCGGATAATCAGCAGGAATAGTTTATCTGTTGCCAGGATTTATCCTGCATTTGTTAAGAGTTGCATTAGCTCTTAATGACAGACAGTGGAGTGGTAAATGCAAGTTAGCGAATCAAACTGCAACAGCTTATTGGGTTAAGAAGTGCAAACCATCATATGTGCCTCCTCACATGGTGTTATGGAAAGTAAGCACACTCTTCCTGGAAGCAAGGCATGTTAGACTCAGTAGATACTACCAGTAGGTGAGATACAACTCAAGCAGTTTGAGGTAGACCGGTCTTATCAGTTGAATCCAGTTTTGCTACTGAGACCATATGACATTCAGTTCTCCTTTCTCTTTCTATGGTTGAAAAGCATATAAACATCTTCTCAAAGATGTAGAAAAATATGGTAAACTCCCTTTCAGACCAGTGCCATCAGAGCAAACAGGAAAATGTAGAAAGCAGTCAAATATCAGCTACTGACAAACACAACATGAACTAGGAACATTCTTTCTACTTTGTTAATTTAATCTATTAATTTTAGGACCATATAAACCATTTTCAGATGGAAGTAAAATTTTCATACTGATAGTTGTCAGTATCCTCAGAAAAAAACCAAAACAACAGCACTTAGAGAAGAGCAAGTGAACAATCAGCTTCAAGTGCTGCTTAAGATTTGTGAGGATAACCAGCTAACCAGATCTTGGTGAATGACAGCTTTGAAATCGTTAATTCTTTATTAATTCTTCTACAGAGGCAATACCTTTGGTATTGTAATACTGGGGTCTAAAGGGAATGCATTGTGCTTTCTGGCTGCAGAAACAAGCAGTCTGAGTTCTACTTGACCAAATCAGGTATATTCTTTCACAGCCATGGCCAAGAACATTCCTGTTCCTCCTCAATCATTTGCCCATTCTGTAAACTACAAGACCAACCACTCCAAGCTTTCCTTTTATTTCCTACGGTTAGACAATGTACCAGCATCACCTCATACTGCACCAGCATGATGTTTCTTATGGGCGGCACACTACCTACACCATGTCAGATACACTGTGAACACACAATTGACCTGGTCACATAGCAGGGGAAGCAACAGTATACTGACTTTTGCTGTTACTGGCTTACCCCACTAAGTATGTCAGGAGGAGGAAGTTCTTTCCCCCTTCTCCTGGAAGGATGTTGGAAGGAAAGGAGGATTTCAATAGTAAGTAGAGCACTTGTGCTTTAGAACGGGAAGCTTGCTCATTTAATTTCTCATCAGAGTTCAAGTCTGAAAATATACAACGTACAACAGCTGAGGATAAGCCAGTTGTCTCCCCAAAAATCAGTTACATGGAAACAGTATGCTTTCATGTTCCTAATCAGGTAATATTCTCCCTCCTTCATGGAACTTAATTTATCTTTAATTCCCTGCTCTAAATTCTCTGTCCCTCCCTTGGAAACTCTTATGTAAAAGAAAAATGTGGGAGAGTTCAGCTAGGTATGCAATTTCCCCTCACCCTATCTGTGACCTCACTTGTTATCTCTTCATACTTCGGATTCCTCTCATATGTAATCAAAAGAAGAACAGTGGAGATTCCAGCAAGTCAGCCTCTCTACTGTCCTCCACCACGGTTTTCTGAATATACAAGGCACAACAAACTCACTCCTCACACTGAAAAATGGAAGAAACCATATTAGCAAAAGCAGAATATTCTAATTTTTCTCAACAAGAGAAAAGCAATTTTGATAAGCATATCTGACACAGAACTGGAATTCCCACCCCAAAGTATATGACTGGCAAAATACATAGGAAGTACTCCAGGTATGGATGACCTGCACACAAAGACAGTGAAAGGCAAACTAAGTGACATGAGTGGGAAACTATAGAATACACGAGCTAATTAATGATAATATGATGAAGGTGAGAATATCCTACCCATAAAGGGACAGTCTGCAAAAGCACTTAGCATATATATTTTGGCAAAATATGCATTACATACCAGTACTTTGGCAGTTTAAGTTTTCAGTTTCTATGTTAAGAACTTAAAACAGACTTTTCCTGATTTCACGCATTCATGATTTTTCATGCGTTTTCCCTTCTTAACAAGTTAAAAAAAACCCAACAAACTACTCCAAGGTCACATTTTTCTCATAAATCTAAAAAAATAATTCAAGGCATCATACGGAGATACCTGTTTCTGAGCTGTGGATTTACATTGCAAGTCAGCACATCACAAACCAAGTATTCGACCAAGGAGTTAATTGCAAAATCCTTCTCACAAAGAACGGCTGTCTTTAGACCACAAAGCAAGTAAACTACTGATAACAAAAAACAGCCCATTGAAAAAAGGCCACAGAATTACTTTTATTCTATGAAAATCTTTATATTCAAGGTTCTAGATCTTCATCCTTCCCCCTCGAATGAACCCTTATCAGCAGGGGAGGACCAGTGCAACAAGTTCTCTTTTAGGCTGACAGCAGTAACTGGTTATACTCCAATGTAGGTGAAAACCCTCAGGCCACACTCTTCAATTCCAAATAGCTGCTTTGCATCCAAACAGACTTCAAAAAACTACAAGTTATTCCAGCTTAGCTGATGGACTGTAAAATAGTTCTCTCTGTTGTTTGAAGAATTATGATCTTTAAGTCGTATGTACAGACACTTCTGAAAGAGCTCAGGTTGAACTACTCTTACCTTTTGCTATCCTACAGCAACACTCACACACAGCTAGATTGCCATAAACACAAAACAGCTTCTCGTTTTCAGAATGGGCATGTTCAGAACTACTTTGCATTACAAGTGAGAAGACACATGAAAGCAGCAACTGCAGAGCTGTTATTCCATGCATGAAGGTCTAATATTAAAGTTTCTGTTTAATGAGGACCACACTACAGAAAATAATAACAAATTTCAGAATGTTAAAGAACAGAACCTTCCCAATACCTGCACATTTACCCAAATAAAGAAGAACAAAGACTTACCACTTTTTCATATTAATTAACAAAATGCTCAAGTACATTTTTGTGGTATGATTAAAAAAAGTATTAAAGACATCTACTATATAATAGATCATAAATACAGCTGTTAAATTAAATATTACACTATTTCAACAACTTATCCTTTCATTTAGGGGTTTTTTAGGTTTGGTTTGTTTTTTTTTAATATTAATGTACCAACTTAAAACTTACAGCACTAGCCTGCCAAGTACCAAAAGAACATCTTCACATTCTGTAGTCAAGTAAGGTCGTGCATTAGCAAAGCATTGGATGGAGATTCGATATACTTCCAAAAAAGGTAAAATATGTTCCGATGCACCCCGACTGCCAGCATACTGAAGTAGTGTCTGAAAGAAAATGAGTTATCATTAGAAGTTCTCATAGCACACTTTTGTCCACAAAACAAACATCAATATGCAATATCAAGCATAGACAGCGGAAGAATTCTGAAAGTAAGAAGTTTTTACACTGAAGGAGATTTAAAAATGATAGGTTTTCTCCTCAACAGAAGTTCTCCCTTTTATTCAAAAATATTTTCATTTATTTCATTATTTTGATGAAGAATTTCAACTAAGGAGCAAGGTAGATGCAACTGAGGGAAATGTGAAGTGTTAAGATAGAAATTCAGGGAGAAGTTCTGCCATGGAGACAGACCCACATATGTAACACTGGAATCTTTATAACTAGTAAGAAGGCAGAAACATAGGAAAGAACTGCAAAATTAGGAACGTTCTTCCAGCTGTAGTATTTTAAAGATACATGCATTACCCATAGAGCAAACGTGAATCCATTATAAGGGGATACAAAACCCAGATCAGACCACCTAGTCATTTTTCAAATGCAAAATTACCCTTGATTTTACTACTTGACCATAGCAATTCTACATTACCCGGGCACAGTTCTGAAAAAGCAATGTAAAGTCTAGCCAGTTTTAAGATAAATCAAAATAAGTTTCAAGAATCAGCACAGGGACAACAGTAGCATCTCTCAAGCTTTTTAAAGCTCCAGTACACTACCATGTTATTTTCTTACAGGTTACAAAGTAATATTGAGAGCAAGCAAGGCACTGAGCTCAGGACATCTTAGCTCTACTGACAGATGCTTCAAAAGTAACGCTCCTTCTCTACACTCTCCTACAACTCCAGACCACTCATGCTGATACTCTCACCAGTCACAATCCCTCTCTCATGCTGCACCCTCCCTAGACCAAACAACGTACCACTGTTGATTAAGGCCAGCTGCAAATAAAACAAAAAACAATGATAAAGGCTGTGCTTTCTGGAACCCTTAGGGCCAAGACTGTGTGGTATGGTAAACAAAAGTTTAGATTGCCCCTAGAATTCAACACAACCAAATTGTACTAAAAGGATGATCAGGTCACACCAAGCTTCAAATTACTTCAAGTTGGGACTCCGACACAACCAATTTATTTTAACCTCTTAAACAAATACATGATCATACCAGGTTATGACTAGGAGGAGGACATGACTGAACAGACCCTACAACGAGCTTACTAAAACCAAGTGCAGTCATTATAATAGCCAGAAGCTTCCGAGACAAAGCCTAACTTCCAATACAGCAAGAAATAAGTGGCCAGCTACACACTATTTTGTGGACTATCTGGTGTTACATCAGTGATCTAACTATGTAATACTACTCCTAGGATTAAAAAAGAAAAAAAAAAGAAAGAAAGAAAGAAAGAAAGAAAAAAGCAGCAAACATACACTAGACTGGCACAACCATTTCTGAAATTTAAGATACAAACAGAAAAAAAAAAATCTATAAAATATACCATCTAAGAATCAGTACAAATCAAGACCATTTTGTAGATTATTCCCCTAGAACTCAGTATCAGTATCAAAGGTTATTTAAAGTTACAAGCTCTCCAAAAAGCCACACAATATTAATAAAGATGTAAGGAGGGTGGAAGAGGGAAGGTTAGACATTTACAGAAATCATCCTTAAACACAGCACAAAGATCATAAGCAGATGCAATGAATGACTAGTAACTAACCAGTCTAAGTGCTTCTCTAACAGACTAATGAAGGATTTGATAATATAACTCAAATTATATGTGACATTAGAAGCATTAAATTGCATTCAAAGGCTGTCAAGCTATAATCCCTAGAGATATTCCATTGATGACTATCTTAAAGTCATCTGTTTAGTAAGCCCTACAGTAATGCTATCATTATACTAAGAAATAGAAAATGAAACATACAAATCTGCAGTTTTCTAAAAATACATCCATTAAAACCACTCTATTAAAAAAAGCCAAATTTATTACTCAATTATTTAAACAGACACTTAGTTCATAAACTATCTGGTCTGCATAAACAATAAAACATGGCAGAATATTTCCTAAGATTAAACAGACTTACTAGAAAACACTGCACCCTTGAGTGCAATCCTAGCATTGAGATCCAAGTCTTACAGCTAATATTAGCAATTAATTGAGTAGCCCTTTATCAGAAATTTCTCCCTAAACAGATGAGCAATGATGGTTTCAGTGTATAAGACAGATTCAAGGCAAGAGACTTATTAAAAGCTTGAATTTCAAAGATACATAGTTTTGAACATTATTATGCTATCAGCATTCTGACAAATAAGCAAAATGCAGTAACTGTATTACAGAGGCTTTTGAACGCCCTTCTGCTGTTTCACAAGCAATAAGTTTTAGTAGTCCGCTAAAGACTTTTCCTGAAGTCTACATACAAGATAAAATTATACGATTTTAACCTTGTCAGAAATACAAATTCTACACGTTTAACAATAACATAACTATTTTATAAGCAATGACTACTCTCTTCAGGTAATTAGAAGTATTCTAACATTTCAAGTCTGGTTAACACGCATCCACCAACATTTTATCCTGTCCTCCTTCCTTTGACCAAAATAATACATCTAATTAGTGAGTGGGGTGAAAAAAGGCCGGGCACACATCTCTGCCTGCTGTGTAATCTACAGACCAGTCTAGGTCCTCAACACCGCAGAGATTCTCACGTCCTGCAATGCTGGAATACCTGCTTAGCTACATTTCTTTGGAAGCATCAATTTTTTGCTCAGAACCAACTTAAATGTGTTAAACTTGCCTGACCTGTTATTACAGCTTTAAGTCTCTGTTTAACAAAAAACCCTTCCATTTCTTCTAAAACATACCTGATTACAATTGACAGTCCTTAACTGTGTCACCTTTAATAATTTCAGAAAGCCAACAGGTGTTGGGTATTGGCAGATGGAATGCTTTGATGTCCTAAAACCTCTGCTTCACTGCTAATTGTTTTTCATATTTATTATATAGTACAACCTCAAACATACACACTGTTCATTCTGGGAGCTCAATATGTACACAAACAGCCCACTAAACAGACATGTTTTTCCCCCAAGATGAATATGCAAAGCATTCACGCTTGTCCAATATAAAGTTGCAGAGTGAACCCACTATTTAGGCTTCACAACTTACTTTGTTGTGTTATCCTGGACACCAATCTTATTCCCCTCTTCAAAACCAGGGATCTTCAGGGAAACTGTGCCATCCAGTATCACTCCCAGAAGAGCTACTGGAAAGCTGCACATGGCAGCACAAGTTTACATGTAGACAGACAGTGCATCCAGACAGCTCAAAGCATAGGAAAGCTACTGATTTAGTCCACAGTTTGTCATGTCCCAACAGCCTCAGTAACTTCCACAGCAAAACAAGAGCACCTTTGAGGACCATGCCACAGATGTACACAGGATGGCAAATCCATTGCTGCCCTAAAACATTTCAGCTACCCTCATAGGATGCAGCTACTTCCCAAATATTATATTTAAGCCCAGTTCAAATCAGCTTCTCTCTAGGCATGTTCTACTGTAGCTTCATAAGCTTACAAGAAGATACCAGTAGTACCCTCCAAGTTGTTCATACAAAATTCAGCTCCTTAAATTTTACTTGGGGGCAGACCTTTTTATTTTTAAGTTTTATCTCTCAAACCATGCAACATTCACAAACATCCCCAGTCAGAAAGAGACATCATGATGTAAAATTACATCCTAACCACAGTGGTTTGACTGCACAATGACATCACAAATTTATACTCCATTGAAGCTGCTGCATGACAGATCAGCGATTTCATGTTTTGCACTGTATCTCTTGGTGTACAGTCATGACTATCAAAATGTGCCAAACCGATGGCAACCCAAAACAGATCTTTTTAATTTTTATCTGTATTATCTCAGTGTTCTAAAATGAGACCACCACTCAATAACAGCCCAACAACCTAAAGAGGTCTGCATTTTTTGTGGGACAGGTTGTGAGGGGGTTTTTTTGTTGTTTGTTTTTTCGGTAACAGAACTGATTTCATCAAACCCCATTGATCAAGTACCTTTAAAGCTTTATCTGCACCAGACTAATCTGGGTGACTTGACCACTACATATATTGATCACCTTGACAACCTCTACACTAAGTGTTAGCTGAATATTTGTTTCAATGTTTTGATGCAATAAACTCTACTGCAAACAATTTCAGCAAAACCTGAGACACGGGGATAAGTCACACGCATTATACCAGTCTCCATGTAAATGCAAAGTCACAGATCCTAAGAGTATGCTTAACTTGAGATATATGTAGCAGTGTGCAGCAGCATCCTGCAGTTTGAGAGGCAAGAGTTTTGAAACCTAACAAATTCCCTTTGTTGTTTTGGAAGCAATGAGTTAAACATCCTCCCAGAATGGCACTGTAAAGTACACAACCTGTGGATATGAAATGGAAGGGTAATGTCATCTATAACACACCAGCAGGAATTTTTGTCTGATTTGGCATCTGATTTTGCCATTTGCCAGTCAAACACAGTAGTTGCATCAGCTGAGGTGTGGTTAAACTAGCTTGTAAAACAGATTTTTTTATTTTTATACCATGATCTCTTCAGATCCAACAGGGACAGTTCTTCAACCCAGCAACCCAACAACAATTATTCAACCCTAGAGTTCACAGTAAATGATGCTGTGGGGGAAACAAAAACTATTTAACCATTTAAAGAGTTTACTTAATAGGAAGTTATCTCCATCACCTCAACTTTAATCTAAGTTCAGCTCTTTCTCTGGAAGTTTGTGGTTTGATTCAGAAACTGCTGATCCTTAGCCCGAGTTGCAATAAGCAAGTATTCAGACAGGATCAGCAGACCACTGCAGCTCATTCAGTGACTTTAGCCAACTGCAGGCCTTCACAAACCATCAAGCATTGCTTATTCCATGGCATATCTCAATCAAGGTGGAACACAATTTCGATCACAGGGCATATACAGAACAGGAAAGCAGAGCTCTAGGAACAGAGCCAAGACTGCACTGAGAGAGCACAGTGTGGCCCGCCTGCCCAGAGAACCCCCAAAGAACCTCCCAAAGGCTGCCACCTGTCCAGGCCCTGTCACAGTCTAAGGGCGAGCGGCTCCCCCGCTGCCAGGGCCGCAGCCCCAAGCCGGTAGCGCAGCGCCCACGAGGCAGCCCCGGGGCAACGCGCGCAACTCCCCACTGGGTAACGGCGCATACCGCCGCCAGACCCGGCCCACACCAACGGCAGTTCCGGAGGAACCAGCGGAGCCCCCGGAAGGGGAGCCCTTTGCCGCCCGCAGCGCTGGGCGCGCTCGGCGGCGGAGAAAGCCCCGCCGGGCCCGCCCCAGGCCCGCCGCCCGGCCTGCAGCCCGCGCCGCGGCGCGGCCAGCCCAGCCCCTACCAGCATACCTGGCAGAAGCCCCGACAGTACGCCCGGGACGAAGCCTCCGACACTTCCTGCTCCCGCAGCTCCGTCTGCAGCTGCCAGAGGCGGGCTCGGAGCGCCGCCACCAGCCGCTGCATCTCGGGCCGCGGAGCCGCCTCAGCCTCAGCGTCCGCCATCTGCACCCGGCCCCACTGCGCGTAGGCAAGAATCACGTGACCAGCAGCCAGTGACTTCATCGCCCCGGGACGGGGTCACGTGATGCACACGTGACGCGGGGCGCGCGTCGCTGTCCGCGCGACCCGCCATCCGGGGCCGCGGGCGGACTCCGCCTCTCTAATGGCGTCACGGGAGGCGACGGCAGCCCGCCGCGAGCGCGTGCGCGCCTGGGGCTCCAGCGGGGGGGGGCGGCGGCACTCGCCGTTGGCTCCAGCTGCCGCAGCAGCGCTCCCGCGGCGGGCGGGGGCTGGGTCTGGCCTTCCTCCGGGGTCTTGGGAGACGGTCACCGAGAGGGGTGGAAGTATTCACAGAATGACATGGGGTTGGAAGGGACCTCTGGAGATCACCCAGCCCAACCCCCTGCCAGAGCAGGTCCCACAGGAATGTGTCCAGGTGGGTTTGAATGTCTCCAGAGAAGGAGACCCCACCACCTCCCTGGGCAGCCTTTGCCAGGGCTCTGCCACCCTCACGGGGAAGAGGTTCCTCCTCATGTTGAGTTGGCACAAACTTGAATATAAGAAGTTTCCTCTTTTTCTATCCCTGGGCACCACTGAAAAAAGACTGGCCCCGTCTTCCTGACACCCACCCTTTAAGTATTTATAGGCATTTATCAGATCCCCCCTCAGTATTCTCTTCTCCAGACTAAAAAGACCCAAGTCCCTCAGCCTTTCCTCATCGGAGAGATATTCTAGTCCCCGATTGTCTTTGTAGCCCACTGCTGTACCCTCTCCAGCAGTTCCCTGCCCTTCTTGAACTGGGGAGCCCAGAACTGGACCCAATGCTCCAATAATGATGGGAGTATCAGATAATGATGGATGCAGGGCAAAGCCAAGTTTTAGACTTAGATTGCATTTATTTTAACCTCTTGTTTAAAAGCATATTGTTGAAAGCAGATCATTCAGGAATTGAGGAAACCCCTGGTTCGATGCCCAGCCAAACATGGGACCACTAAGTTTTTTACCAAGAAGATCTTGGAAGTGCTCACTGAGCCACTTTCCATCATTTACCAGCAGTCCTGGCAAACTGGGGAGGTCCCAGCTGACTGGTCTCCAGTAAATGTGATGCCCACCCACAAGAAGAGCCAGCAGGATGATCCAGGGAACTCCAGGCCTGTCAGTATGACCTCGGTGCCTGGAAAGGTCATGGAACAGATCATCCTGAGTACGATTATGTGGCACATGAAGGACACCCAGGCGATCAGGCCCAGCCAGCATGGGTTCATGAGAGGCTGGTCCTGCTTGACAAACCTGATCTTCTTCTATGACCAGGTCACCCGCTTGGTGGATGAGGGAAATGCTGTGGATGTTGTTTACCTGGACTTTAGTAAAGCCTTTGATACGATTTCCCACAGTATCCTCAAGTGGTGCCCCCAGGGCTCGGTATTGGTGCCAGTTCTCTTTAAAATCCTTATCAATGGGCAGGGGTGTCCATGGTGACTGATAGACTCTGCTCCCTGTTTTTGTTGATGTTATCCTGCCTTTTACAGAAGCAGGCCAAGACAAGGACAGGAGAAGACCACCAGGCAATCTTAGCCACATGGCAAGAGAAACTCTCCCTTCCACAAGGGCACGGACACAAAGTTAAGGATTCAAGAGCGTGGCAAACCTGGGTAGGGGTGTCCATGATGACTGATGGTCTCTGCTCCCTTTCTTTGTTGATATTATTCTGCCTTTTACAGCAGCAGGCCCGGACAGGGGAAGGACCTCTGAGGAACTCCCATTCTCAACCACACAGATTCCGTACCTTCTACAAGGACATGGAGACAAAGTTAAGGATTCAAGAGTGTGGCAGAGACCTTGGCAGGGGTGTCCATGGTGACTGATGGTCTCTGCTGCCTTAGTTTGTTGACATTTTCCTGCCTTTTACACCTGTAGGGACAGACAAGGAAAGGATAAGATTATGGGGAAATCCTGTTCTCAGCCACAGCGCCAGAGATTCCCTACCTTCTACAAGGAAAAGAACACATGTGCAGAGACCAGGACATTGGTTGCCCATGGTTAATCAGGGTGGCTCCTCCCTTTCTTTACAGATATTAACTGCCTTTTACAGCTGCAGGCCCGGACAGGGGAAGGACAAGACCATGAGGAGTTCCCATCCTCAACCACACAGAGATTCTGTAGCTTCTACAAGGACATGGACACTAAGTTAAGGATTCAAGTGGGTGGCAGAGACGTTGGCAGTGGTGTCCATGGTGACTGATGGTCTCTGCTCCCTTTTTTTTGTTGACATTCTCCTGCCTTTCAGAGCTGCAGGGATAGACGTGCACTCCCATCCTCAACCGCGCAGAGATTCCATGCCTTCTACAAGTACACAGACACCACGTAAAGGATTCAAGAGTATGGCAGAGACCTTGGCAGGGGTGTCCATGGTGGCTGATGGTCTCTGCTGCCTCAGTTTGTTGATATTATCCTGCTTTTTATGGCAGCAGGACAGACAGGGAAAGAAGATGACCATGGGGAACTCTCATCCTCAGCCACAGTGTCAGAGATTCTGTAACTCCTACAAGGACATGGACGTGAAGTTAAGGCTTCGAGAGTCTGACACAGACCTGGGCAGGGGTTGTCCATAGGACTGATGGTCTCTGCTTCCTTTTTTTGTTGATATTATTCTGACTTTTACAGCAGCAGTGCCAGACAGGGGAAGGACAAGACTGACGAACTCCCATCCTCAACCACACAGAGGTTCTGTACCATCCAGAAGCGCACGGACAAAAGTTAAGTATTCAGGAGTCTGGCACAGACCTGGGCAGTGGTTGTCTGTGGTGAGTGAGGATGGCTGACCTCTTCTTGTTTGTTATCCTGTCTCTTACAGCTGCAGGCCCAGCAAAGGACAGGACCAGATCCTGAAGAACTCCCATCCTCAACCACACAGAGATTCTGTACCTTCTACAAGGACACAGACACAAAGTTAAGGATTCAAGAGTCTGGCAGAGACCTGCACAGGGGTGTCCGTCCATGTGTATGAAAAATTCAGATATTGTTTTTGAACAGTCTGACTAGTTTTTGCAGAACTTCTTGGTTGCCTTGCATTGAGGTATAATTAGGGAATTATTAACAACACAAAGGCTTCCCAGGGACATGCAAGAATGCTTATCCCTTAGGCAAAGGAGAAATCAGTCTAGGCCAGCACGGGAGGATTAATGATTGACTGAGACCAGCAAACTTGAGCAATATTACCACAGAAGGGAAAAAATAAATAAGTGAAATAACTGATATAGGCAGAGTGATGGGGAGAGGTAAACAGGGACGGGACAAAGAGAAGTAGTCTTAGATGTCTCTGATAGACTGTAACCCCTGGAGTATCCAGCCAGTGGGGAAACAGGGGAGGGAAATTTTGTCCGGGAATAGGGAATAAAAACAAAATGCGCCAAAACCCCGTGTGCCCACTTTTGCCGGGTCACCCATTCTTGCAAGAATGTTTCAATAAAATCTGCTTCATATTGATCACTGCCTGAGCCGTTGTTATTGGACAAGGAGTGTTTCTCATGGTGGCTGATGGTCTCTGCTGCCTTAATTTGTTGACGTTTTCCTGCCTTTTTACAGCTGCAGAGACAGACAAGAAAAGGGTAAGACCATGGGGCAATTCCATCCTCAGCCACAGCACCAGAGATTCTCTACCTTCTACAAGGAAAAGGACACAAAGTTAAGGATTCAGGAGTTTGACAGAGACGGGGACATGGGTTATTCAGGGTGGTAGCTCCCTTTCATTGTTGATATTATTCTGACTTTTACAGCAGCAGTCCCAGACACGGGAAGGACAAGACCATGAGAAACTCCCATCCTCAACCATACAGATTCTGTACCATCTACAAGGACATGGACACAAAGTTAAGGCTTCAAGAGTCTGGCATAGACCTGGGAAGTGGTTGTCCATGGCGAGTGAGGATGGCTGACCTCTTCTTGTTTGTTATCCTGTCTCTTACAGCTGCAGGCCCAGCAAAGGACAGGACCAGATCCTGAAGAACTCCCATCCTCAACCACACAGAGATTCTGTACCTTCTACAAGGACACAGACACAAAGTTAAGGATTCAAGAGTCTGGCAGAGCGTTGGGCAGGGGTTGTCCGTGGTCTAGTGGAGGTTCTGGCAGTGTGAGGTTAGTGGTTAGAGTTGACGATTTGAAAGGTCCCTCCCAACCTCCATGATTCTATGAGCCTATGATTGTCCCTGTCTTCTGCTGCCAGAAACAGCATCTGTGGTGGCATTGCTATCACAAGGTGACCATACCTTCTCCAGGGCCTTGGTAAGCTCATCTTTCTCTTGCTTCAGCAGATTCCTCTGAAGGTGCAATTCCTCCAGTGCCTCACTCACAACCACAAACTCTCACTGCAATAAGGAATATTTTTCTTCAAGTGCCTCCAAGTCCTTCAGTCAACGAGGAGGGGAGAGACAAACAAGTTTTGAATGTAAAAACATTCTCGTTTCCAAACTCAAGAGCACGTCCTATGTCCCAGAAATGGCAGTTGGGATGATTTGCTCAAATTTTGAACAAAACACTGGCATTTCCTGAATAGAGCTGCATCGCTTTTTGTCCTTGATGTAGGCAAAACATTCAGCATTGAGAAAGTAAAAGAAGCTTCCAGAAATCACAGAACCTTTCCAGAACATTCAGGTGCTCTCAAATGAACAGCTTCCCGCCTCTTGGTTCTCTCTCTCCTCTTTCCTACACTGGACACTAGCCTGGCCAAAGTTCTTCTGGGGATCAGACAGACTTTGAAAGTCCAGGTGACTATTGCTGCAGCAGGGAGTGGATCAAAGAGCCTGCAAGCTCTTTGGGGAGACGGCTATGAATTTCCCATCCAGTAATCACGCATGATTCAGGTTAAGATTAAGGGCCATGCTGCAAAATGGCCCTTCTTGCCCCACAGGCCTCCTGCACTCAGGCTTGCAAGGAACACCCATGCAAGTGGCTGCTCTCGACAATATCTACACAACAAACATTTCAGGAAGGTGGTGTGAGAATAAGCCAAAAATGTTG